ATGCGTACATCATCCAGTCGACTTGTAGCGCTTACTTGTACTTGGCGTACACATCAGCGCATGTTGTCCCACCGTTGTTGCTTTCGCTATCATCTGCTAAATCTTCTCCGTACCACAATCGCAGCTCTTGGCCAGAAGCCAAAACCATAGGATTTGTTAACACTGGGAACACAATCTCTTGAGAATCAGAGTGATATCCGTTCAGTGTATAAGGTGTCCGCTGGCTCTCCGGCACAATGATGACGTCACTTGAATTCGTTAAGACTGTCTGAATATAGTTTTCCGAAGGGTTACAGCCCCATTTAGTAAAAACGCCGTATTTGCAACTCACAGAACCACTAACATGAACCAGTTTGAATGCCAGTATGGTCCCACCAACGCCAATGTGAAACTTGCCAAAACCGTCATCTTTGGCACCAAAACAGACCCGATTCAAATTCAACATGCGCCAGGGTACTTCTAAAACAAGCGGAAAATTACATTTGGTAATGGTATTTGGACTGAGTTGAGTCCAATTCGGTCATTTATACGACTGATTAACAAAAGCAGACGACCACGTATGATTACTATTATGATTATACAGACCGAATTGGACTACTCGCCGAAGACTCTCTTACCAATTAATCATAACTATAACAAGACATTTGCGATATTTTAAGCCTTTTTAAAATTAAAACCCTTTTTCCGAGACTGTTTTGCTACAGTACTGTGCAAAAGTAATAAGAGCGAAGTTGGTCGAATTTCGTCTTTTGTTCTCGCGAAAGTTCCCCGAAATTTCGCATTCGGTTCAACACCTAGCTTCTGAAATTTCGCAGGGACTGGAACAATAGATGCGCCGAAATTTTGCCGAATTTTCGTCTGAAACGAAAGTTCGCAATTTGTTCTTCGAAATTCGCAATTTCGGCGAAGTTCGCTCTCATTTCTTTTGCACAGTACTGCAGCATTGAAAAAAATAAAAGTAAAAAACAGCGATGGTGCGCATTGTCAAATTAGTCAGGTATGTCGCGTCTGTTACATTGAACACTTTCCAGTCTATCAGAAAAGAGGACGTCTCAAATTATGTGATACACACAAGTTCAATTTTAAACATTTAAGACGGAATCCATCAGGAAATTGAGTAATTTCAATTTTTAGTGGACAAAAACCTTGTACCAGAATAATTTAAACAATATCGCATTCTTTTTTACATTTTTTCAAGGGGTATAGATGTAATAAGTTATGTGTAATAACACCAAAGAATATTTCGCTTGAGAGCCCGAGAAAATAAAAGTCAATTTTCACAAGAATTGTTAAAACACAGGTAGAGTTCTGAAAATTTTGTGTCTAAGGTGTCATTTGTGAAATTTGACATTTATTTTCTTGGGCTCTCATAAGAAATTTTCTTTGGTGTTATTTTCGATAACTAATTACATCTATAGCCCTTGCAAAATATAAAAAAGAATGTGATATTGCTTAATTTTTTCTGATAAAAGGTTTTTGTCCACTGAACATTAATTTACTTCGATTCACCCTTTTCGAAGTATATTTCTCCACATGTTGATATTTTAGCCAGAATTCCACACTCCTTTCTACACTTTAAGTTTTCGTCGATATCAATTAATCAATTCTCTCTTGCCAGGTTCTCTGAATCATGTTAAACAATTATCTGATTACAATAACCAATTAACTAGAGTTTATTTATTGATTGTAATATTCTCTTGCATCGGAAATCTTGCACACTTTAAAGTGTCTGGTTCCAAATAATTTTTGTGCCATATTTCGGATTGAGTGACTGCAAGACTCCAAAACACGTCGGCAGAAGAGTTTAAAAGTATGAAAAATAGCAGAAACTCGGACATGAAAAGTGTTCGTGGCGAGTATTCAACAAGAAGAAGACCGGTCCAAAATAGTTTTCATCACTACAAGTCTCGCATTATTGAAAATGTTCATAATATTATGCATTATTCTGCTTTACGCGAGTGTGGCCCCGGAAAAAAATGCATAAGAGTTTAGGGAAAATTTGTTCATAAGTTTTCATAAAGAAAGACAGGAGCCAAGACAAAAGAAACGTTGACGAGAGCGAAAATTGTCTCAACTTTAATATATTCTCGAACAATCAAACACTAGTGCTATATGGTATGTTTAACGTTTTAATTTCTTTATTGATAATTGTATAAAACTAATAGATCTCAACTATAGCTGTGAGTCTGTTCAGTACAAAGTCGCAGCGACGTCAAAATGTGGTAAAAACATCAGCGACATACTCACTTACAGTTTGCGTGCCGCTTTTTGCTCCAGTTACCTCATTTTGAAGTATTCTGTGTTATCTGTTACTGAACAGAAACAGGGCAGAAAGGATTCAATAATTGATGAATATCTAACGTCTCAAACATTACTTACCAGAATCTGGGTTGTCAGCATATACCGAGGTTGCTTTCTCCTTAAAATAATTGGCTCGGAAATACTTGGTGTCGTTGTTGAACTGACAAATCTTGTTGACAAGATCGTAGTTAAAACTTTGACAAGTTAGCTGGGTATTACAAGCGCTGTAGCAGGTAGCGAGGCGATCTGCAGTGAATGACTTATACTCATGATCAACAAGGGCAAAACCATTCACTGAACGATGGTGTTTGCATGACTGGCTTATTGATCGGTGAATCAATGCAAGGTGACAAATGATAGCGAAAATAACCATGATTTTGCTTGAAAATCCTCTGAGTTTACTAAACTTGTTTTTCCTCATTAACTATTTAACATTGCCATTAGGGTATGAATTTTTGATGAAATGTCTCATAACCTGACGGGAAGTTTGCACGTGTAAGGCCCGGTGCAGACGCTGGACTTTTCATGAGCCGAACCTGTAATACATTGAATTAAAAGTTCGGTGTCTGAATCAATTAGGAACACCTATTTCAATTCGGAAAGGCTGAGCCGTTCTTCACGCCTAGCCCGGCCGGGAATTTCGACTGTGGAACGGCTTTGCAACGGCTTTGATTCAGACGCCGAACTTTTCATGTACCGAACCTAATGCATAAATTATGATTAAGTATTTTGCAAGCAGTTTGGCCAAAATGAACATTTTTTCCCTTTTAATTAGTTCGGATGGAATTAAGATCGGCGTCTGAATCAATTCTGGCGGTCTAAATAGTTTGGGTAGGCCTTAATTCGAATTAGGTTCGGCTCATGAAATGTTCGGCGTCTGAACCAGGCCTATGCAAAGATAGCTGCGACTAAATTATTTCCTCTCTAAAGCAACGATTAAATCAGCAAAAAATTAAACTCCAATGTTTCCCCTCCCCTATATCTGAGTTCTAATTCTGCGGTTTCCTAATTGTTGCACAAGGAACATGATTTATAAGGATGAATTTCGCTATTTTTTAATGGGGAAAAACCGAGAATTATCTTGTTAGTCGATGGCGCTTACCATTATATTGTTATAATTGTCTTCCATGCACTCAATCGCAGTAGTAATACTGGTCTATTTACGGCACATTGTTATGCAAATGAGGTTGGTCTCCATACAAACCCTTCTAGTTTTTGGAGTGATGATGGTCAACATTGAATACATTTATTGGGTAACAAAATCAGTCAATATTTGGTAAGTGACAGGAAGTAAAGGGTAAAAGGAAGTGAATAGAAAAAAAGAGAGAATCTAGCCCTCACTCAAAACCATTCCGTTTCAAGACAAGACAAGACATTTATTCTCATAATATTACAAGTACAATTTTTTGGCACGCAGTTAGCAAGAAAACGCTAGTCGAGGCGTGCCAAATCAATTCTGTTACAAATCATATATTACATATAATAACTAAAAAGAAAAGAAAAAGAAAAGAAGAAATATGTGTAATGAATTCAAAAGCAAGAAAGACAAATCTGTTTAATGCAACCTGTGAAAGAGGCTAAAGTTAAGGATTTCGCGATTTTATTTCTCGTGTTATCATGGTTGCATCAAGGTAATCATCCTTGTCTTTTAATATTTCGAAGAGCACACTGATTAATTTTCGATTGAACACTTTTTTTGACATATCTCTCATTCTACCTGGTATCTCATTTCATACTTTAGCGCTAAAAACTGGGACGGCTTGTCTTAGTTTTTCAAGATTAAATTTTTGATGTACATATTATTTTTAGAGGATGATCTTGTGTTATATTCATGAATAGATGATGTCTGCGAGAACAAGTTAACGATTTTTGAGGGTGCAGAATTAGTATGAATATCATGCATTAGGTAAGATATTTGCATCAACAAAAAGAGGAATGGTATGAACTTTCCTGTTGGCAAAAAATATGAAACGGATGACTTTTTCCTGAAGCAATAAGATTTTTGTTAAATGTGTTTTTGACGCCTGCCCCCAACCTATCAAACCGTAAGATAAATAAGGCAAGAT